GATCGGTGAAGTAGGAAAAGAGATGCTGAGTCGGTGAAAAATCATAGTCAAGGTTGCTCATTTCAAGACGAGCTTTTTTGATACCGGAGACGAAACTTTTTGGTTTATGTAATCCCACTGAAACAAGATTGCAACTGCAGCGTTGATCAACAAAACAAAGATTGGAACTCCGGTTACGCGGATCACATCAGGAAGAAATCGACTTTCATATACCTTCGCCATTTTGAACCGCAGCCGCATCAGTGACATATCGCAGAGCAGTACTTCTTAACCATGAACGTTTAATATGTAATTTGCCAGAAAAGGAGGTTGTTCTGAAACGAGTTAGGATCTGTTCAGACCAAGTAAGTAGAAGGAATGTAGACTTTTTGACTTCTCGGCTAATTATTGCTTAAAACGTTCCTTTCCTTGAAGGAAGATTTCACGATGAGAATGAAGGTCGAAGAAGGGGAAACTTACCTAGTGGAGAGACAAGGCGGACCCCCTAAGGGTGCGGACCCACACACAATTTGCATCGAAAAATATGCCCCCTCTGACATGGCCTCCTTTTGGCGCACTTGGCCAGGAACGCCAGGGAGAGCGCTAGCGTTGAGGAGGACACGATAAGAATCGCATCAATGCGCAAATCAACGGGCAAAGGTGATTTCATACATTTCATTTATTTATCCACCAGGTTGGTCCCCCGCCAACCGCCGGGACCTTCTTTCACAGCGTACGCTTTACGGCCTAAAATCACCTTACGAAAGCTAATTGCATCCTAGGCCTGTTGGGGGTGGTTTCCCGCCTACCCTCCTCGAACACTTCACCCCCTCTCCTCTCCTTCCACTCACCTTCAGCTGCCACCGCAGCACCATGTGAAATAACTGGAAGTGACCTCAGTAGGTGTTTATATAGCCGTTGGGGTGTTATCACAATCATGCCATTGCAAAACACTTGATAGCTAAAGTCCTGTGAGCTACATGGACTCCAGCCGCCCGAACTAGCATGCTCTAATGGCGTTTCTTACTGACTAGTGTCAGCAAGAAATGCGGCTGCAATCGCATATGCACCAATACAAGCAGAGACATATGCATCAGTACAAACAAAGAATGAATTAAATGAGTTAAGCAAGTAAAACCAACCAAAAAGGCAGCATTAATTTTGAAACGCGGTACAATACGCGCAATCTCGCAACGATCTGCATCGAAGCACGCGATATCCACGGCTGGCAAATGGGGAATAAGGCAGATTCGCCGCCACGACCACTTCGAAGGCGTTCAACAAAAGTGAGTAATTGTTTGAAAGCTCTAATCTTCTAGTTTCTAATTAGCCTTAGACATCTGCAAAAAGTTGATTATGAAGAAAGTTATGAACGTTTGAATGTCGAAAACTCGCGCCTTCTCAAAAATCGGACCACAAACCCCCAAAAACGGAACAACGGGACTATTTTTTGAGAGAGATCGTTGGAAAAAAGTGAGGTACTTGTTTGAAAGCTCTAATCTTCTAGTTTCTAATTAGCCTTAGATATCTTACAAAAAGTTGACTATGAAGAAAGTTATGAATGTTGAATGTCGAAAACTCGCGTGTGCACAAAAAACGGAACAACGGGACGATTTTTTGAAATATTGAACATCCGCAACATTTCAAATACTTTTTGAAAGAAAACTATTTGAATTTTTAAATTTTGGTGTCCGGTTTCATGAAAACCGCCTACGAATCGAATATGACACTCTCAATGAAGAGCTTCCGTGAACTATTGCGAGATTTAGTTTTTCAGCTTACTACAAAATAAAGTAGAGTATATCAAACAAAAACAGAACAAAAGAACCAAAAGAAATAATTCTCGCAGGTACTTTGAAATTCGTGATACCTAGACACTATGAAGGAACTAAGTTAGCACAAAAATCTTGGCTGCATCCCCAACATAAAAATTTTTGATATTACAATTTTTCTCGATTCCGCGTCCCAAGCAAATAGAAAACACGTTCCACGCCAGGGCGCCAATTTCTAAATTCGAATTACTCGGTTTCTCGCCTTCTTTATTTTTTAAGAAATGTTTTCGTAATTTTTTGCTAATGAATCTTTCCGTAGTGCTTTAGAGGCCGCGCTAAAGGCCTGTAAAGCACTACAGAAAGATTTTCTGGCGCAGAGTGGTGCGAGGGGCATCGCCCCGCGTGTCGCAAGCTATAACTCAAACATTCAGCTCTCACCAATGCAAGACTCCCTCACGCTCAAACCCCCCTAAAAGGGAGAGGGTCGTACTGACACACCTTGAGAAAGGAGGTGTCACAAAAATTTTGGACATTCGCAAAGCGCGGTTGACTGCCTGTACTCACCGCCAACTCCACGTCCGATACGATTCAATATCTCGCTCAGCCTCTCTCTTCGCGATCTTATTGCATCAGCTAGAATAAATAGACCAACCTGTCTTAACAAATCTGCTTATGAAAGTGTACGTGCAGTGCATTATTTTCCTGTGATAATGTAATTTCCTGTAAGGATAATTTCCTGTAAGGAAATAATGCACTGCACGTACACTCTTTATAAGCAGTGCACGACCGGTTGGTCTCATTTATTCTACTGATCACACAAGTCGCTGAGGGAGGCTGAGCGAGTATTGACGTATCGGCACTGGTGGAGTTGAGGTGAGTAACCTATTGTTATAGATTCCGCTCCGCGGTTCATAAGAGGGGGTGACACTTGGCCAAATGCCAATTCATGTTAGGCGGGTAAGCAGCATTGATTGTTTCGGAACGCTTTCAGGCCTTTGACAACGACGAATTTGTCGAAACGTTAGGCTGAATAAAAATTCCACCATACAAACCTGTTTGGCACAATAAAACAACTAATTACCAATAATATCATAGGATTCCTGAGCTTCATTGTGTAATATGTTCTTCAATTGCTTTTTGAAATGAAACTCTTCCAAATCTTTTATGCGACGACGTTTCGGGCCTTAAGCCCTTCCTCAGGTCTACAAATACAAAGGTGCTAATTAACATCAACAATCGATCTAGATGTGACCAATATAATACATTGGAAAACGAAAAAGACTTAACAACTGACCAACTTAGAAAATTTTTGGTTTAGGTTTAGGTTTAGGTTTATTACGTGTGCAAAAGGCACATGTGGGAAAAACACTGGTACAACTACGAATAAAATAAAAAGATCCAAACATAACTTCCAACTAGCAGAACAAACAAGATAAAGAAATCAGTCAAGATATTGTCAAATCTGACAGTAACAGATGGAGAGGCGGTTTAATTCAGCAGTCAGTCTCCGAAAACGCTAATACTCTACATCGTATCTTAGCAGCATATTTGCCACCCGATGTCTGAATTGAGCCAGTGATATGTTTAGAGGTAACTTTTTTGCCAACTTCAAATAATGACTGCCAGCTCTGAACGTGAAATTTTTGGCACGCAAAGTAGTTTTAGGTTG